ATTCTGACTTGCTAAAAACTCGCTACAACTTTTTAGAGTAAACTCCACTATGAAATTCAATTTCCGTATTTGAGCATTTCCAAGAGTGAAAATGGAGAATTTACTAGGAGCGATACTTTGAATGATCCCGACTAAATGGCCTTAGGATACTCCACACAGTGCTGGCAAACACTATCGCTTTCGCACCGGACTAGAAGTACTCAGTTCATTAACTGTATTAACGGTTGTTGCTTAACACCTACCTTTTGCGGTCGCTAGCATAAATCACCATAAATTTTGCGTAAAGTAAATGTACAATTTCCATTTAACGGTTGTTATTTAAAAGTAACCTAGTTTTTTAGTGAGAAATTTTTCCGCCAAAACTTTTAAGAGCCCGTACGTAAGAACCACGCATACTTCAAGGCTGAATTTGAAACGCAGTTGTGCTTGGACAGGGAACATTCCCCCAAAATTTCAGCTTCCAGCCTTTCTGGTTACCAAGTTAACAATTTTCTCGTCAAAATTTTCACATGCCCATACGTCGGTCCTCCACGTGCCTGGAAAGCTGAATTTGAAATTTTCAAATCGCACATGAACAGGGAATATCCCCCTAAAATTTCAGCTTTCTAGCTTTCCTGGTTCCCAAGTTAGCAATTGTCCTACTAAAGCTTTCGTACGCCCTTAACTGAGTACCACGCGTACTTAGGGGCTGAATTTGAAATCTTTAGCTAGCACACGCACAGGGAATACCCCTACAAAGTTTCAGCCTCTTAGCTCGTTTGGCTCCTGAAATCGCTTTCCCGCCAAAAAGTTTGCATATTTTTTTAAAGCGTCCGTATGTGGTACCCAGACTTCCGCGGGGGATGAAATTAAAATGGGAGGGTCGAGCATGGTATGGGCACATATTCCCAAAGTTTCAGCCTTCTGACTTTTTTGGTTCTCGAGTTGAAAGTGGGTGACAAAAAGTGCGAACACACAGACACACGCATACACACACGAACACACACACACATACACAGCCTCTTCCCAATATGCGTTTTTGCAGTTTGCATATATGCAAAAAAGCATAAAAATGAAACAAAACCACCCACAGGTCTGCTTTGGCTCACTGCAGCTACAAAATTTATTGCTTCACCTTCCATCATGGTTTGCGTTCTCCTAATAGGCAGTTTCTCTGTCGCACTGATACTAGTTTTTCTGTCAAACTCATCAGCAAAACCAGCAGTTCTCATCCGCAGTTCAACAGTTCTACTTGTTGACGCCTCACACTTTTCGTTTTTCTTTCAAAATTCATCCCACTCCGCCCTTCCACAGTTTTCATTTTCATGCGTTTTTGCCGTGCAGCGCTAGAGCGCTGCAATAGGCAGCAAAAACGCATATTGCGACGACTCTGTCAGTGTGTGTGTGTGTATGTTTGTGTGTGTGTATGTATGTTTGTGTGTGTGTGTGTGTGTGTTCGTCTGTCCGGGTGTTTCAACTCAAGCTTTGAGGCTGAAATTTTGCTAGTGTGTTTCCTGGACAAGTGGCACCCCGGGATCGCAGTATCAACTT